CTCTTGGCAAAATGGAAGGCTCTTTTTCTACCACAGCGAATAGATATGACCAAGTAAACCAACAAGTGAATGAAATCCCCTCTTTTCTCCAGTTTTGGTGAGTGAAGAAATTAATCTCAGCAAATGCAATCCTGAATTTCACATCATATTTTTAAATCCTGAAAACATCACCTTTGTACATATGATCTGGTTAGCTAATAGAGATTTGTTCAGTGGGTCAAAGGGGAAGAAGAACTAATCATTCTTGAACATGTGCGCATGGATAGAATGAGCCGTCACGTTCTCCCTGTTTTGGATTTCTCTCATTCAAGCGAAAATTGAATTGTGTCACCATATTAACATCAGGGCCTTACATGCTGCTATTTGAAATCACATGTTGGAGAAGGAGAGAACTGCCAACATGCTGCATGGGATAAAATGTAGCTCTATCCTAACCGAAACCGTCTTGAGGTGCATAGATAAAGGATTTGGAAGAAATGCACTGTGCTGTTACAGGCTGTCAGGCAGATCTATGTTCTGCAAAATGGTCGACTGACAGCGTCCCAGGAGAGGTTTCACGGTTGCTGAGCCTCCCCCGAGAGTGACATTGGAGGAGAATCGAGCCTGGCTCCTGGCTCCTGCCCAAAGTGGCCATCCAGCAAGCAAGGCTGCAGCGTCTTCTGGAGGAGACTCCCTGCCTGACCCAGGGGTCCTTGGAGAGCAGCCCCCACTGCTCAGGGCACCTTTCCAAGCTGCATGGATGCAGACTTCCTAGACTGTAAGTAATAAACTTGGTTAACAACCTGGCTGGCGAATTATCGCCAAGCTGGCAGAAGTAAAACAGAGTCGGCTGAACTATCACCAGGAAAAGAAAGCTTTCTAATTCTGTCAATTTTATTGAGTTGTTTGAAACAGAGAATGGGTTTGAAAAGGAGCCTCCACCCCCACTTTTGGCCACAAGTCAGAGCTCATCTAAGAGACACAACCGTAACCAGAGACCAGAGAGCTCAGGTCCATGGTTGGGCTGAATTCTTACTGTTAGCAAAGGTGCAAGAATCATGATGTCTCTGCTTCATAATGGAGCAATCAAACATCCGGGCATGTGTTTATGTGGCTGCGAGTTCTGGCAGGAGGGAGAGAATGCATGCATGACTTATATGAAAGCAGGGACCCAGGCCAGTGAGAGAAGCTTAATAGCTGTTTAACCATTTTTAAACAAACCATAAAATCACATTGACCGAAGGCCTACTGGGATTCTCCATCTGTACATCTTCTAGGAAGTTGTTTCCCAAATGGAAGATTTATTAGCAGGGACCCACACATCAGAAGTGTCCGAAAGTCCGATGAGCTTGGTGTAAGCGTGGGGTCTCAGGTGGGCACTCATTAGTATTCATGTGTAACCCTCTCTGAGCTAAGCTGTCAGAGATTCCCGGGCCCAGCAGAGGGGTAGCTGGCTGCTCATGGAGGCTGATATACTCTCCTGGCTGTTCGCACAGGCAGCCCGGAGATGCGTGGGAAAGAATTTCCGGAGACATCAGGGCGAGAGGATGGGCGCATCCACTTCTCGTCTTGGCAGTGGGAAGGTTTCTGAAACGTTCTGTGCGGCACGGAACCACAGTTCATGGATCAGCTATAAAACTGTAAACTACAATATGTTTGCTGAGAATATGCTGTTTCTTTTTTTTAAATTGAAGAATATACTTTCCTGCTTGCACCCACCCCCTCCTAAGAAACCTTCATGAAACTGGTTTTTAGTGTTTCTTTGCCTTTCAGGCACTGAGAAAGTGGTTCCTATGAAGTCAAATTTTTCTGTATCATGTGATGTTAATTTGCAAGATCAGATGCTCACAGATTCATGTACCCTACAGTAAGAACCAAGCATGGGTGTTATCATTGACAGCACTGTGGCCTTAAGACAGTGTGTTAGGATCTTTGCAGCCTGTAAATGCTGCCTAGCTTGGAAAAAGGGCCTTTCCAATGACAATTCAGCGAAGGACCTTGAGAGGGTGACATTGTCTCGGATTATCTGTTGGGCCTTCAAGCAGTCACAAGTGTCCTCCTGTGAGAGAGGCAGACAGGAAAGGAAAGGACTGTGTGGGCATAGAGGCAGAGACTGGAGTGAGGTGGTCACAAGTCAAGGAATACTAGCAGCCAGCAGAACCGAAAGATTCCTGCCCAGAGCCCTGGGAGGGAGCATAGCCTTGCTGATACCTTGATTTGGGCCCACTAATAGTGATTTCAGACTTTTGGCCCCTGGAATTGTGAGAAAATGAATTTTTGTTCTTTTAAGATAACATGTTCGTGGTAATTTGTTACAGAATCCATTGGAAGTTAGTACAGGTATCTTATTCATTCATTTTATATATGTGAGCTGCATCTATATGGGTGTATGTATGTATGTATGTATATGTGTATGTATGTGTATGTGTGGATTGACATGTCAAGTGACCCTTATCTGAAATGAATAGTGTTTCATCTTTCAATATTTTGGGATTTCAGAATACTTATATATAATGGAATATCTTGAGGATGACATCTAAGTCTAAACATGAAATTCATTTATCTTTAATATAACACATAGCCTGAAGGTAATTTTATACAATGCTTACAAATAATTTTGTGTGTGAAGCAATGTTTCACGGTATGGAATTTCCCATTTGTGCTGTTGTCTTGTTGGCATTCAAAAAGTTTCGGATTTAGGAGCATTTAGGGTTTTGGACTTTCCAGTTAGGGATGCTCACTGGTGTACACACACATACTGTATATATATAATGTGTGTGCTACTTATAGAGAAGGCACACTATAAGCATTGCAGGCTGTTATAAGAGCTTACACTCTAGTACCTTGGTTAAATGCAGAGGTCAGACTGCCATTGGTTCAAACCTATTACTTATTAGCTCTGTGATCTTAGACAAGTTAAATATTTCTTTGGGACTTACACAGTTCTTTGAGGAATAAGTACCATAATCCGAGTGCCTAGGAGAAGTCCTCTAAGATGTCAGCCCTACATGGCTTTCTAGGCTGCTTCAGTGACCAGCAAGACAGAATCTGATGACTTCCATGTCTGTGGAATGAACTGAATGCTTTAAGAAGAGAAAGAGCAGGAAATCACTTTGAGCAGGGGATTAATGGAAGCATTAAGGATAAAGTAGTATCAGGTGTAGACTCTGGGAATGGCCAGATGTCACATAGCCACAGATGGTGAAGTGGGGACCAGGAAGGACAATCCGGATAAATGAGTGTGGAAAAGGAGCAGAGGGGAAAAAAGCCCATGTTGTTTCGTGACCTGGCAGGAAGGTTTGAGGGACACAGGAGACAAGGCAGGTGAGACAGGCCAGGGCCTGACAAGGATCCTGGAACACTCCTCAGAACAGTTGCAGGTCGACACAGCTGGAGGGCACCCAATTAAGTCCCAGGTAATTACACCTCCCGAAATGAGCACCGTCTTGGCAAGATCACTGAGTGGGAGGAAAAGGACCCCCCCCCCTTGTGAGTTGCTGGGGAAAGGAGTGGCCAGATGCTCACCACCAGGCTGGATGAAGAATTGCTCTGGGCCTGGCAATTTGTGGCTGGGTTTTACAGTAATTGCAGCGGCGCCTTCTTTATCTGTAAGGGAATCATCTCCCCGTCTTCAACTGTAGCTTTGGAATCTGTGCTATTTAATGCATTAAATGGTGCCCATTAAACAGCTAAGTTATGCCAGAAGGCCCAGAAGACACCTGGAGAATAAATGGGCTTTTTACAAAGCAAGTAGCACACCCGATGTCTTGCACACAGCTTGTTGAAGTTGAAATTTGCACTGCAGTCAGTCTTCTGGGATTTAGATGCTTGCACATGCAAAATTCAGGGACAAAAAGGGATTTACACACGGCAAGACTTCAAAAGGACAACCGGGGCATGAGAGCATGCTATTCTAGGCTGAAGACTGAGGCCAGAAAGCAGCAGCTGGCAGGTTGACACAGTTCCCGTGCCTGGAATAAAGTTGTTATGGCAAAGTGAGGTACACCTGCGCAGACCTGATGGCGTAGACTCAAAAGAAACCTCTGGCCCAGCAAGATGCCCATCCTTTGTTACTGAGGCAATCCTGAGATTAGCTTGCTTTCAACCCGTGGGTATGATTTCCTAGTTGGCTTGAGGTCTCAGCAACATGACAGGAAAAGCCGGCTGGGGCCAGGCTCTTGAACCTAGTTTTGGAATTTGAGAAGGAAAGATTTGTCTCAAGTCACAGTGAATTTAAGATTCTGAACACAGCAGCAGTGGGGTTTCCAATGAGATGTTTTGAGTGGAACGTAACTTCTTTCTGTTCCTTGCTTAAATTAAGATGGGGAAAAAAGCAAGATGTTTGATTTATGGTGGAGGTGAGGTCTTTGGATACTTTCAGTGAAGGATCAGGCTGAATTGGTGGCAGTGGCTGTTGGGGGAACATGGGTCAGAGGACGGAACAATAGACGGAATTTGGAAGCTGTTTCCAGCTCTTCTCTCTGTTCTCTTAGTTGTTTATCTCCATTAATTGTTTGCCCCTTTGCTGTTCTGAGTCTTTCCTTATTTGTGTGTTTCCTGCTAATAACAGGATTGCTAATTCTAGAACAAATTTAGACAGTTGACCTTACAATGTATTTGCAGATCTAATCTTTTCCAATTTTTAGTATGCCTTCAAACTTGCACGGTAGATTTCTAAGAATCTTAGTCTTATGTAAACTATTAATACATGCAACAGCATGAATAAAGATCAAAATAGGGCGAGTGAGAGAGGCCATTCAAATTGAGTGTACACTTTGAAATCCAACTTAGGTGATGCTCTAAAAGTCGAAGTTGATCTATAGTAACAGAAAGGGGGTGGGTGGCTACCTGAGAAGTGCGGAGGCTGGGAAGACTTGGGCTTGAGAAAGAGGCACTGAGGTGATGAACATGTTTACTGTCTTGCTTGTGCAGATGGTCTTCCGGGTGTATGTATCAAATTGTACACCTTACACGTGTGCAGCCTGAGTGTTACACTCCAATAAAACTATTCAAAACCAGCTTTAGTTTTTCTGTGTTTTTGGACTGCGTTTTGCTATGTTGCCTAGGCTGGTCTTGAAATCCTGGACTAAAGTGATTCTCCTGCCTCAGACTTCCAAGTACTGGGCCAGCAGATGCTGCCACCTCTCCTGGCTCAGCTATAGCTTTAGAGCATCGCCTGGTTACCCATGGGCCAAGGCCCAGGGACATCAAGTGGTTGTAGCACAGTGTGACAAGAGCTGTGGTGAGGCAGCTTTACAGAGAGGTGAACTTCAGCACAGCCAGTGGGGACAGTGGCCAGGGTAGACAGCTGCTATGCGTGTGGTGTGGGGGGCTCGCCCTCCTGCTGACCTCACTGTTCTCTCCTTGACCTGGCCACACCCTCCATGCACACGAGGGGACTTCATAAGCAGGAAAGCAGTCTCCATTAGCCCCGAGCTGAGATCTTCACAGCTGGTGTGATTCACTCACACCCCGCACACTCCAGACACAGAGAGCAGGCCTGAGATTCAGGGCCCCTGATGTGCTCCTTACTTTTTGCTGAGTCTCTGTTATTCATACTTCATCGCTGAAGTTCTTAATCCAAACATAACAGGCCAGGGTAGAACAATGTGGGCAAAGACATTTGATATTCAAAGATTATTTTCCTTTACTCTCCACAGCGTTGGTGTGTAGGCTGCATATTTACAATTGGTGGTAAGATTGAGAACAAACTGGAAATTGTCTGTCTTAGCACTTGCTTTTTAAGGCTAGAGAGATGACAAATAATCAGGTGGTCACATTGTGAGCTCTGGATTTACAGTGCACTGTGGAAGAACAGAGAAGACACCCAGATTAGGGGCTGGGGGAAGCTTCTTAAAGCAAGACTCTTAGAGAAGATTTGAATTTCTTTTTATGGATATCTAGAGGACAACGTTTTACAGGGAAGGCAGGAGGGTGCTCTGAAGATGCTCCAGTCAGGAGTAAAGTGGAGTGCAAAGAAAACTCTGGGACCTGATGACCATGCCCTGAGACAGAGCCCGTGGGAGGCACTGTACTGGATGACAGGAGGACAGCGTCACCACCTCATGCTCAGGCTGGCAGAGAGCACCCCTGAGCATGGTGACAGGCCATACTGACATCCCAGTGCCATGGGTCTGAGGACCAAACGACAAGGAGGTGGACACAGGAGCTGCGAATGCCCTGTCCCCTCACACATGTGGAATCACGAAGTGTACTCAGGAAGAAACAAGGGGTTTGGCCAAGAGAGAAAATCAACTGATAGTGCAGACCATAGGCTCAGGAGGGGGAAAAATCACAGCTTAGCTGGTTATTAGATTTGTGACTGACAAAATCTCCAGCCAGAGAAATGTGTTCTCCAGGATCCACCCTTGAAGTCTAAGTACAGATCACAGAAGTAACCGCCCTGTGGATTCAGAAGGGCAGTCCTTGGGAATGACCCGCAAAGACACTGCCTCACTGGGCATGGTGGTAACGTGGCTTCTGTAAGCACCTGGTGTCCAGCCTGATCCTGGTGGCCCAGGGAGGCTGCACTGGCTTCGCAAGGCATCTTACGATTCTCCACAAACTGCTGTTGCTGTTATCAGGATGGTCACTCCCTGGCTAATGAAAAACATCTCTCTGGTCCAAACATGACCTTGAGGTTTATCTAAAACGTTTGTTGCTCAGCAGAACAACATATATCAGAAGTGAAATATATGCCAAAAGACACTTCTAATGCACCATTTATCTTTTTTGTAATTGATTCTCATGCAGGACAAATACCCTGTGGGGATTCACAGAGGACTTAACACACTGTGCCATTATGATGACATCATCTCCCATAAAAACAGCCCTTCTGGATGCCTGATAGATGACTGGGTCTCTTTTCTTTTTGAAGTGCTGCACCCAGCACCACATTTAACTATGGGATTACAGGAACAACTGTTCTATCATGATTTCCACCCTTTATTTTCTCCTGCCACTGTCAAGCTAGCCCCACACTCTGATCAAAATGAAATTATTTCAAAATCCATACCCAATTGATTCCTCTTGCCAGAAGAAAGTATGTAACAATACATATGCATCGACTTTCAGTTTGGGCCAGTGCTGAGATTTATTGTCTCTGGGCAAATATTGAGCTGGGTGAAGTTTCGGTCAGTTGTGTTCCTCTCAGTCAATAAATCTAAGTGTTGACTTTGGGAGGAGCCAGTGACCATTGCTTTGTGACTCATGATCAAGTGTTTGTGTAAACTGATGTCTTGAAAGACTGAGAGGGACTGCAGAGCCACAAAGCTTAGTTTGAAAATTTCTAGGACCCATGAGTTTCAAAGAAAGGGCTTAATGACACAGAATAAAACTTACAATGTTGCTAGAAGAATTTCTTGAAGGTCACACAGGTAGAACCAGCAACTACCTTACTCTGAAGAATAGCCTAGGAAGGCAAGGTCTGTATCCATAAAAACCGTTACACACAATTATACATCATGATGTTATTAATTACATAATCATTGCAAATGCCCCGCCAGGATGTCATCCTTTGACCCGAGGGCAGCTCCATGCAAGGCAGTTTAGCAGTAATTGGTAGAGTTTCTCTACATCTGTTAAGTGGGGGTGGGTGTTTGAAACCTACTGCCAAGACTAATGTCTTAAAATGGTCAAGGGCCTTGAGAGATGCTATCATAACTATTATACCAGCTGGACATCATGGACTCATTGCAAACTGCACTTGTTCCTTGAAACTTGAGCATACTGTTTTGACCCTAAAGTTGCATTAAACTATTTTTTAAAGTTATGAATAGGCAAAGAAACACATTGCCAAACATGCAGAGATGTTCAACAGAGTCAAAATGAGGCTTGTATTAGTCAGGATAGGCTAGGCTCCATTGCAATAACAAATAAGTCTCCAAATATTAGAGATTCTCTTCAAATGTTTCATTCTCACTCAGGTCATAGTGTGATCTGAGTGGCTTTGGTTGGTGGCCTTCTCCTTGCAGTGACTCAGGGACAAAGACCCATATGTTTTATATCCCTGTAATCTTAAACACATGGCCTTCTAGTTGGGTACTGAAGGGAAAGAGAACTAGAGAATTACATGGGATCAGGCCTGGAAGAGAGTTTGATTACTTTTATACGTATTCTACTGGGAATTTTTGTTTTTGGTACCAGGGATTGAACTCAGGACCTTCCACTTTCGAGGCAGGCAGCAGAACCACTGAGCTAAGTCCCCGGCCCCTCTACTGGGAAGGACTTAGTCTGGTGGCATGCTTTCCCTAGCTAAACTGACAGGGAGCCTGTGACGTGAGTCTTCTGTGCCCAAGAAGATGTCATTATGGTTTGATCTAAAATGGACCTGGATCTTCCTCATGCATTTGAAGGTGATTAGATTACAGGGCATTATAGCTGACTTGCTGTCAGGAGATGGGTCTGGTTGGAAGAGGCGGTCACCGTGGTGTGATCTGGAAGGGTGGATCCCCTTTCCCGGCTTCTCTTCTTCCTTTAGCTCCCTGCTTCCTGTATTCTATGAGGTGAGCAGCTTCCTCCACCATGCCCCTCTGCCATGCTGTCCTGCTCTGTAGCCATCTATCAACTATGGACTGAAACATGAGTCAAAGTAAACCTCTTTTTAGTTGTAGGTGTCAGGTGTTTTGTCCCAGTGATGAGAAGAGTGACTGAGATAGGTATTGTATGGTGAACACATAATGTCATCTCTGCCACAGCCTTTTTTTTTTTGTACCGGGGATCGAATTCTGGACCTTGGGTTTGCAAGGCAGGTGGCAGAACCACTGAGCTAAATCCCTGGCCATCCGCCGCAGTCTTTTAAACAACCTCTGGTGGAGCAGGTGGGATTGAGGACATCAGGGTCCTTGTTCCCATGTCCCACATCAGAGTTCACCTGCACCTGCAAAGGCAGCTCTTGTGCATGCTGACAGCTCCTGCCACAAATGCCCACATCTCTGGTTCTCTGTCTGAGATTCTATCAACCAGAGCACAGGGCAGACCAGAGGTGTTTGGAATTGAAGTCCTCAGGGAAATTCCTGCCTGTGAGGGTAAGGGATTGGTGGATATGCACCCTCGCTTCCTTGGCTGTCCTGGGGACAGTTCTGAGATGTACTCAGTAGAGTTCTCTAGTAGGGCTGAGCCCCACTACACACTGAATGTCTCACTTACCACCTCACTGTTTTTCTCTCTTCTGTGTCTCATTTCCTCCTCTTCCCTTACTTCTCCTCAGGACCACTCCCAAGTCCTTAATTCAGGTTCTGTTTCCAAGAGAATCCAAACTAGAAAAGAATAGAGAGACCTTGACATCCAGGTCAAAGAGTAATGCCACAGAGGGGAGGGCCACCAAATGGACTTACATGCACCTCTCTTTATTTTCTTTCTCTTTGCCAAGAGAGTCACACAATTCAGGGAAGAGGGGCTTAAGTGGGAAGGCTGGGGTAGGAAAGGTTAGGAACCTTGCTTAGCAGGAACACAAACTGGAACAGAGTCTTAGCGGCAGATATGACACAATAAATGGCTTCTGATCTTTGGGAAGGGGTGGGACTCATGACTTACATGGAGTACAAGTTAGTGATTTTTCCAAAACACAGACTGTTTTATTAGTCATCTAGGGATGCTATAACGAAACATGCTGCATTGGCTAATTTGCAAGCAGGATTTGTTGCTCACAGTTCTGGAGGCTGGGAAGCCTGAGCTCAAGGCTCCAGCAGACATGGTGTGTAGAGAGGACTTGCTGCTCACGGATGGTGCCTACTTGCTGGGTCCTCACATGGCCAAGTGGAAGGCGTCTCTCTGGGGCTCTTTTCTAAGGGCACCAGTCCCAGTGGTGAGAGCAGAGCTCCTGACCTCATCCCTCCAAAAGGCCCCACCTTCTAATACCTTCTCAAGTTTCAGCATATGGATCGTGAGGGACACAGACATTCAGGCCTTGGCACAGATACCTTGTTTAAAATTCTCTACTTACGGTGTCTATTGAAAGAGTTAAAGACATCATATCACCATGTCTTTAGTCACTTTTCTCTCATTGCTGAGACAAAATATCCGACACCCAAACTTAAAGGGGAAAGGGTTTATTTAGCTCACAGTTTGTAGAGGTTTCAGTTCATAGTTGGCTGACTCCAAGGCAGAGTGGCAGATGGCAGAGGGGCAACAGTTTGTGGCAGTGGAAGATAGCAAAAGCAATAAGGGAACCTTAACAGCGTCTTTCTGCCCCTTTTATTTTATCCAGACTACCGGGATTAGGGCGGTGCCAAAACAATCTGTGTACTGATCTAGTAATCACAGGCTCTTAATCCCAGCATCACACATTCTAGATTCAGTCATCTCTGAAAAAACCACCTATGACTGCAAGACGCTTTGGGGGGCCCCTAGATCCAAATCATAACACACAGTGACACATGATACCCATGTTTATAGCAGTACAACTCACAATAGCTAAATCTTGGAAGCAGCTTTTATGTTTCTCAGCAGATAAATGGACAAAGAAAATGTACACAATGGAGTATTAGTCTGCTGTAAAGAAAGACAAACCTGAGTCATTTGTAGGAAAATGGATGTACTTTGAGACCGTAATGCTAAGTGAAATAAATCAGGCACAGAAGGTTAAATATTACATGATTTCTTTTATATGAGATACCCAAAGCATAAATAATTTAAAGAACAAAATAAAAGATAAATGATAAGAAGCAAGAATGCAGGCTTTTTGCAAATGGGAAAAGAATTGAGGGATGGAGGGAGAGGAGAGAGGGGGAGGGAAAGGGGAAGTGGAAAAGTCTAATTATGTACATGTACCAACTCCCCATGGTGAATATATTCATTATGTGTTATGAATATGAACATGTACTAAAAATAAATAAGATTCTCCACTTACAAGACCAAAGTTAAACCCTAGATCCCTCCATGTGACATACAAAGCTCTTCACAATTCCACCCCTCCTGTGTGTCGCCCTCTCTCAGCATCCAATCCCGTGCAGTGTCCAGGCCTTCTGAGGAGACCCACTTTTCCCATGGGGATATGTGCATTCATTTTTTTTTTTTTTTTGATACTGGGGATTGAACTTGGATCCTTGCACTTGCGCAGCAGGCGGTGAAACCACTGAGCTAAATCCCCGGCCCATGTACACTCATTCTTTAAAAAATAATGTCCTTAAGAATAAGCTCAATCTAATGTCTTTTTTTTTTTTGGTACGGAGATCAAACTGGGGACCTTGAGCTTTTGAGGCAGGCGCCAGAACCACTGAGCTAAATCCCTGGCCCAATCTAATGTCTTTCTTTAAAAAAAATTTTATTTTATTGATACATTTTAGGTATACAATATAATGACATTCATCATTGGAAATTTGCACCTTTACATAGTCTCTCTTGGTTCTTATTTTTTCCTCATTCCCCTGGCCTCCTTTCAATGCCTCCATCCCTCCCTGTTTATAAAGACTTTGTTTCCAGTTTTTCATTTTCTCATATTAATTCCATTCCCCGCTTTCCTTTCCCCTACCCTTCCCACTTCCCCTTTGCCCCTTTTGTTCCTATTTCACATTATGTGTTATACCTTTTAGTCCTTATTTACACTTTCACTTTCTCACACTAGAGAAGCTACTTGATATTTACACTTGTGTCCTATTTATTTTGCTTAAGAGTATGGCCTCAATGTGCATCCATTTAGCTATAAATGTCTCTAATTTATCATTTTTTATGGCTGAGTAGTACTCCATTTTATAAAAAATCCCCACATTTTTTTTAACCAGTCTCCACTTGATGGGCAATTGGGCTGCTTCCAAGTTTTAGCTATCACAGACTGTGCTGCTATGAACATGGGTGCACATATATCACTGTGGAATAATCCTTTTAATTCTTTGGGGAAGATACCCAGCAGGAGGATAGCTGGGTCAAATCGGATTTCCAGTCCTAGTCCTTTGATGTATCTCCATACTGATTTCCACAGTGGTTGCCACCAGTCTACATTCCCACCAGCAGTGGAGCAGGGTTCCTCTTTCCCCACAGCCCTGCCAGCATTTCTTATTGGTTGATTTCTTGATAGTAGCCATTCTTTCTGGAGTGAGGTGGAATTGAACAATCAGCATTGTTTTCATTTGCATCTCTCGAATGACCAGTGATGTTGAACATTTCTTCATATGCTTACTTGCTATTTCTACTTCTTGGTCTGAGAAATGTCTGTTCATTTCAGGTGCCCATTTTTGGATTGGGTCTTTAAATTTGAGGGGTCTGATTTTTTAAAGTTCTTTATAGATCCTAGATAGTAGACCTTTGTCTGAGGAACAGCAGGTGAAAATTTTTTCCCACATTGTGGGTTGTCTCTTCGCACTGCTGGTGGTTTCTCTTGCTGTGCAGAAGCTTTTTAATAAGAAGAGATCTCACTTGTTGATTGTTTGTGCTAGTTCATGGGCAACAGAGGTTTTGTTCATAAAATCTTTTTCTACTCCAATGTCTTCAAGAGTTCTACCCAACCTCTGTTCCAGCTGGTTTAGTGTTTCTATTTTAATATTTAGATCTTTAATCCATTTCGATTTTAGTACTTTTTTTTTTGGTACTGGGGATCAAACTCGGGACCTTGCACTTGCGAGGCAGGCGGCAGCACCACTGAGCTAAATCCCCAGCCCTCCATTTCGATTTTAGTTTAGTGCATGGTGACAGATATAGGTCTAGTTTTAATCTTTGGCAAGTTGAAACTCAATTTTTCCAGCACCATTTATTAAAGAGGCTATCTTTGCTCCAGTGAGGGTGTTTGGCTCCTTTGTCAAAGATAATGTGGCTGAGTGTGTCTGGAGTTGTTTCTGCATCTTCTGATCTGTTCCACTGGTTCTCAGGTCTGTTTCTTTGCCAGTACTATGCTGTTTTTAATCACAGTAGCTTTGTAGTATAGTTTCAAGTTGGGGATTGTGATACTCCCTGCCATGTCTCTGTTACCTAGAATTGCTTTTGCTATTCTAGGTATCTTCTTGTTCCAAATGAATTTTTGGATTGTGTTCTCAAGGTCTGTGAAGTATGCTGCTGAGATTTCAATTGGGATTGCACTGAATCTATATAGCAGTTTTGGAAGTATGGCCATTTTCACTATGTTGATCCTTCCTACCCAGGAACAGGGTATGTCTGTCCATTTTCTGATATCATCTTAAATCTCTCTTTTCAGAGTGCTATAGTTTTCAGAGAAGAGATCTTTGATTTCTTTCGTTAGGATGATTCCTCGGTATTTCAGTTTTTTGGATGCTATTGTGAAAGGAATTGTTTGCCCTATTTCTGTCTCAGTGAGTCTGTTGTTCATGTAGAGGAAAGCTATTGACCTTATATCCAGCTACTCTACTGAATTTGGTTATTAAGTCTAGAAGACTTTTGGTGGCATTCTTGGGGTCTTCTATATAGAGTATCATGTCATCTGCAAATAATGACATTTTAACTTCATTTGTTTTTTTTAAAATTAATTTTATTGGCACATTGTATTGGTACACTTTAGGTATACAGTTTGTTTACACTTATCATTGGGTGTTTGTACA